CTACCTCTTTGGTGAAGAAAGTAAAAACCTCCAACAATGATAAACAATAGAAACGAGACTACCTAATAAGAGTGGTACCATCAAAATGACAATTCTATTTCTCTTTCGTGCACCATTTTTGAGATGAGAATTGCAAGGCTTCGGACTAGTAGCATTGCCACATAGGCTTGTATTATTCATATATGCCTCAAATGGAGCCTTTTGAAAGGCTTTGATGCTCGGAAGAGGGCCTCGTTAGCTCATTGTAGGATATGTCCACAATTGTCAAGCTTTCCAAATCTTTCAAAGTTGTTGGAATGAGACCATAAAGCATGTTGTGAGAGAGGTTCAACATTTCTAGCCTTTTTAGTTGACCAAGTTGCCATGGTATCTCCCTTGCCGCAGATTCCAACCGAGATCAAGTTGTTGAAGAGAATGCAGGACGCCTATTTCAAACGGAATGCTTTTTATGAATCGTTATGGCTTAGGTTCAACCGCAACAAATTTGAGCACCTTCCAAGTTGTTGTGGAATTGATCCACTTAGATTATTCGTCGCTAAATTAAGGAGTTGAAGTGCGGATAAGTGCTCAATTTCGGAGGGAATGACACTTGAAAGACGATTGTTGTTAAGAGTAAGGTTGTACAACAACTTCAAATTCCCCAGTTCTTTAGGAATCGTACCCTCAAGTTGATTCGATGATAGGTCAACCAATTGTAGTTTGGTAGCAAATCCAAGCTCCGATGGTATCTCACCGGATATATTATTGTTAGAGATTTTTAGGCTTGTCATGTTTTGGCACTGGCCCCATTTTGGTGAAACCTCACCATACAAATTATTGTAGCTCAAATCTATGAAGTTCAAGTGAGGATAGATACCAAAATCTTCGGTTATATTCCCTGTCGGCTGGTTCCCGTCAAGCCTAACTCTAAATAGAGTAGTACAATTATGCAAGCTTTTAGGTATTGGACCGGAGAAATTGTTGTTGGACGCCGTGAAGTTTTCAAGCAAACCTCCTAGGCATAAATCTTGTGGCAAATTGCCGATGAATTTGTTGTGACCCAAGATCAACTCCTTACGAGTGTGTGAGTTCATTCATATTTTGAGATAAGGAACCGGATAGTTGGTTAAATTGAAAATATAGTTTTGACAAGTTTTTTAAGTTTCCTATCGAAGCGGGGATAGTACCGGTTAAATTATTGTTTGACAAGTTAAGCTCATTAAGAGACTCGTAATGACCCAATGGAATTAGGAATTCTACTAGTTAAAACATTTTCCGACAAGTGAAGTTTAATAAGAGATTGTAGTGACCCAATTTCTTGAGGAATGGAACCGGAGAGTTTATTGCCCCAAAGATAGAGAATGGATAGGTTTCTCAAGTTTCCAATGGAGTTGGGAATTCTACCAATTAAAAAATTTTCTCGACAACTCAAGTTCATTGAGTGATTGTAACGACCCGATTTCTTGAGGAATAGAACCGGAGAGTTTGTTACGGTCAAGATAGAGAATGGATAGGTTTCTCAAGTTTCCAATGGAATTGGGGATTCTACCGGTTAAAACATTTTCTCGACAACTCAAGTTTATTGAGAGATTGTAACGACCCAATTTCTTGAGGAATGGAACCGGAGAGTTTGTTGGCCCAAAGATAGAGAATGGACAGGTTTCTCAAGTTTCCAATGGAATTGGGAATTCTACCATTTAAAACATTGTTTGACAATTGAAGGTCTTTAAGAGACTGTAATAACCCAATTTCTTGAGGAATGAAACCAAAGAGTTTATTACCCCAAAGACGGAGAATGGATAGGTTTCTCAAGTTTCCAATAGGAGGAGGGATGAGACCGTTGAGGTTATTTGCACACAAGGATAAAAAGTTGAGATTGGTCAACAAACCTATGTCAAATGGAATACTTCCCATGAGATCATTCCTACATAAGCTCAACTCTCTAATTTTGGATAGGTTACTAATGTGCGGTGGAATGGTTCCATAAAGTGAATTGTTCCAAAGATTAAGAGTAAAAAGATTGGAGAAGGATGAGAAGTTCAAACCCTGAAGCGTACCTCTCAAACCAAAATGTGGAAGGCTTAACTTGGTGACACTTCCAGAATCATCGCAAGTGATCCCAATCCAATTGATGCAAGGATTGCTGTCGACCCAAGAAGACAGGAGAGATTGGCTTTGGTTGTCAAGACTTGCTTTCCACCTGAGAAGTGCCCCAGCTTCTTGATTATTGCTAACTTGAGCAACTTTGTACTTGGCAGCAGCAGTACCAAATACCGAAGCTGCAGAGGAAGTATAAGCAAAAGCAAAGAAAGAAGAAAAGGAGAAAAGGAGAAGGAGAAACACTGAGAATGGTTTGTGTGGTAAGGACGTCATATCCATTTGAAAGGGATGTGTATGGTTTGGTAAATGTGGAGGATGAAGATCCTAGCTAGGCAACAAGTAGAGGTATTTATAGGATAGCATGGAAAACATTATAATCTTTTCCTTTGTTCAATTACAAATGATATCTGCAAGGCAAAATGGTTAGGATGGGACAATATAGAAGTTGGTATACTGATTAAAAAATTTTATTTTCCATAAGAACTATAAGACTTTTCTTTATAGAAGATATATAAGACAAAAGAATAACAACGAAACCAAATAGAACTGAAAGTTACCTTCATTAAACTACTCGTTAGGACTTCAATCTACGATATCAGGCTAACTAAATTTCCACCTTGCCATCTAAACCAGTTACTCTTAAGTTGTTGTAGCTATAATCCAAGCACAAAATGACATGAATAATCAAACAAGAAATAAACCAAACCCACTTGACTCATGGAGAAAATGACATGTGTAATCAAACAAACACAATATTGACTGAATAAATTTGCAGGCTCGAAATCATGAAGTCCAGAAAACTGTTCCTAGTCGTCGCACAAATTCTTGGACTTTAGAAAAAGCATTCCAATTTTTCTTAATTTATGGGAAATAAGACAAAAGAATAAATTTTTTTAAGTTTTGCAGATAAATTTAGTAAGAAAGCGTGGCACCAATCATGTCAAACAAGACCTAGACGCAATTGACTTGTGTGACAAAGTTTTGGAATCTTTATTTTTCGATCTGAATCATGTAGTTTGGCTCATTGGATCTCCTATAGAAAATCTTAAGAAATTATTACAAAATTTAGGACCCAATAAGAAAAATCCAACAAAACACTTAAATAGCTCTCATTGTCGATGCAATCTAAAAAAAAATCCTTTAGCTTTTAAGTTGTTAAATAACTCTAAAACATTCTAAACTTCCAGTTAAATTGAAATAACTATAATCTTAGAAAAATAATAATTTTTGTTAACCATATCGTAACTTTATCCATCTAAAATTCTGTTATTTTTTGATGTAGATGGAGAAAAATAGTGATGATATATTTCACAATTATACTCCCCAAACTCAAAGCCTCCTAAACCAACTACAAGAATGGAGGATTAGAATGAACGAATGGAGAAATACGAAGCCTCGCAGTGAAACTAATTAAAGGAGAAATCATAATGAACTACAGAAAATTTAATAACTAGACCCTAGTGATACTGGCTCGGTCTTTGATTACAAAGAAGAAGGGGCTTAGACTCTCGTTGTGTCTACCTAAAAAACCAGAAAAACAAGCAAAAATATAGCATGATCATTCATTTCTTAATTAATTGCTCTTCAATTATTTACTTAAGAAGTTTGTTTTCGCACTCTTCAAGAAAAAAAACCAAAAACAAATACAAAGCAAACAAAGGAATACAGACTACATCAAATTACAACATTTACTTTTCAAATCCACAATTAAAGAGATCCCATTAAATGTGTGTGAGAATAGATTTTCCAAAGTTATTGTGGAGAATAGTTTCGACAGTGGAGTCCACCAACTTGTAAACTCTAAAGAAACTTTTCCCATGCTTTGTCAGTCGAGAATACTGGGCATGCAATTGCTATTTGTGTGACATGTACTACACCTTCATAAACCTGATTTTTAGGAATTCGGATATGTTGGTCAAGTACATCCTTCAATAGCGTATGCCGATCGACTAATGGTAATGGCGATGATGATGATAAAAGTGTTGAGAGGAGATCGTCTGAATGCCTTCCCATCAACACTTCCATTGTCACTACTCCAAAGCTATAGACATCATATTTTTGGTGCATTTTCATTGTGTAAGCTAGCTCTGCAAGAGAAGGTATTGATTATGGTTTGTTATCAATGACAAAATTGATAGAAAAACAAATCACTGAAAGAAACATAATTTAATTTCAGATAACAATGACTAATTTAGTTTTGGGTTTAGGTGGGAAAAGAGAAGGGTTCAAATTATTTTTTAGTAGTTTTGATTCAAGGGCATATGAAATGTCATCAAAGAGATAAATTATACATTAAAATGACTTAATTAACAATTTAAGGGAAGAACCACCTCAACTAAAATGACTAACATTGAACTTCTTCAACTAAAATTTAAGACAAGTTGCATAAATATAAAGAATATTGATTTATAGCATAAAATCCACCAGTTTGTTTTGCTTTTTTTTTTTTTTCCCCTAAAAAAATTCATTCCTCGTGACGTTTATTTGTGTGCAGTTGGGGGGGGGGGGGGGGGGGGGGGGGGGAGGAGATTCAAGAACTGCAAGCAAGAATAAACCAAATGCCATTCTTGCAGCTTCCCCATTTTTAACTTCTCGCAGCTTCTCTCTAACTTCCAATCTCATGGGCTAAACCTGACGGACCTTGTTGTCATCTCAGCAGGCCACACCATTGGAGTAGCTCGGTGCACCATTTTCCGCAACAGGATTTATAATGACACCAATAAAAACTATAAATTTGCTGCTTCCTTGAAATATAGCCGCCCAAGAACTGGAGGTGACAATAACGCAAAGCCTCTTCACCCAACTGCAAGATTTGATGCACAATACTTCAGGGATTTGATTGACAAAAAGGTCTCCTCCGTTCTGGTCAGGAGCTGTTTAAGGTAGTGGTAGTAATCGGCTTGTGAAGTATTATGGCTACGTTAATCCCGGGAATTTGCGACAGACTTTGGTGCTTCTATGATCAAGATGTGTGCTATTACAAAGCCTCCTCTGTTTCTCTCATGTGAATTCCTCTGTGATGCCTTTGCTATAGCTTTGTCAGAATCCAGATATCTTATAGTTTCAGGATTTGTGTCCTTGTGTAGGCTATATATTGAGGGTCAAATCTGTAGATTGTGGACATCTTTCATAATACTCCATTTACTGATAAAAATTTCAGGTACAGTTTCTACAGGCAAAATGCCATTCATTCAGAGAAAAAGCAGAAAAGATAGAAGGAGATGACAAAACTTATGCGATCATCAATGAGGCTGAAGAGTGAAGAGTATAAACAAACTTTTAAGGGGAAAAGCAGCAAATTTGTGGAACTAACAAAGCTCAGAACAGAGGCTTAACCAAAAGTTTAACCAGAAGTTACTTAAGCAGGCATTGCTTATTCAGAGGCTTTTTTTGAACGTTTTCTAGGAAAAACAGTGATAGTTCATCTTTCCATCAATTCTTTTATTGTCTCCTAATGGTATAGTAATTGACTATAACGCTCTCTTTATCTAGTTTTGTTTTTTGAAATTCTATTATTATTGTTTTTCCTGTTTATTTTAGTTCTATCAATATTTTTTGTAAATCCTAGCTAGCTTTAGATTCTTTTCCCAATACTTAGATAGGCTTCCAATAGTTTCAAAAACTGTCTTATCTAATCAATTGCGATCAATCAATAAAGTTCTCAGAGATGGAAACATGTTAAGATCAAGTAGTCACCCTTTGAATTATCCTAGCTGAAAATTCAAGCAAACAAGTTCAAAACATTGTCCAAATATCTTTATATTAAAGAACCATTCAGCTGATTATACGTTCGGAGTCGCCACCTAGTATTAAGGAACTAGGAACCTATAAATTACATTAGTCCGGAGATTTTATGGTAAGGAGTTGGTTACACTTTTGGGAAGATAATTATTCACTCTAAAAGTGCCCTTTACGAAAAAAGGTATCACTTTTTTTTTAGTCCTAAATTTATCTCCTACATTGTTTATTTATGCCAACTTTTTTTCTAATTTTTAACAATTGTTTTAGCAAAATTAGATTTTTAGATTTGAGCGTGGCATCGTATTGAAACAATCGTCGGTCCCTTTCGTCGAGTGACACGTCGGTTCAAACATCGGATCCACTTTAAGCCTTGATGCAACCGGTGCATTGGAGGACACTTTGATTATTAAATGATGATTTTTGATGACGACGATCCCTATCAAATAGGAGACCTCGCCACGAAAAGACAATCCCGATCAAAAGGAGACTTCGTTAAAATTTTTATTTTTTTATATTATTATTATTATTATTATTTGAATTCAATGAGCCTAATTACTAAAGAGGTCAAGTGAGGTTCTATTGGTTAAAGGCAATACAAAAATAAATAAATAAATTTCTAAATACAAACAAAACCAGTATAAAATGAATAACAACTAAAGTTATCCTAATTAAAGTAATTACAAAAAATTCTGAACTGAAAATAATTAACAATCATGTAACGAATTTAGAATTGTACTTTATTATAATGGTTAAAGGTCAATTGAATATAAAGTACTAAGCGTAAGAAAAAGAATCTAACATTTTCTATCCTTTTTTTATTATTTTTTTTCCTTCCCTGCTCATAATCTTTCATCCTTTATTTTTTCAAAGAAAATGGGGCTGAATAAGCTCAGCCTATCCTCTTTACATTCTATCTTTTTTAAAAAAAAAAAAAAACAAACAAAACTGGTTGGCCTATAATGGGTCAAAGCCCAACCCGGCCTCACATGGGTTGTACTAAACCCATCCCATCTCCTTCAGCTGCCCTAAATCACAAATTCCTCTTATTCCTTCTCTCAAAAGTTGGATCAGACTCTCTCTTTTTCGTATCCTCTCACGCGATTTCCCTTTTTTCTTTTTTCTTTCTTTTTCTTTCGTCTCCCTCTCTAATTTGACACCATGAGCGAACCAGAACCTATCCATTTTCTTTTTCCTTTCCTTTTTGTTTTCTGATTAAGGTCGCTTTCGTTCAGTCTCTCTCTCTCTCGCTCATCCTCGTTTTAATTTTCCTGGGTGTAATCCTAAATTCCCAACCTTACCAAATGAAATTCCTTCCCCTAGAATTAAGTGATCCTAGAGTAATTACTCGAATTTAATCCTAATACTGTGATCTCATGACAAACAGGTTGGGTGGCCTATTTCCAGTTATTTTTTTTGTCATTGTCATTCTTTCCATTTTTTTTAAATAAAATCGAATAATTGAATTTGGAATGAAAAGGAATTGAATGAAATGTGTTACCTGAGTGAAGTTTGATGAATTGGAGCGAATTGAATGAAACTTATACAGTGGTATCAAAGCCTTCATTGCAGGTGGTTGGTTGAGAGATTTGTGAAGTTATACCCAGATCTCCCCTCTAGGCGAAGAATAATTTTCTTAGGATTCAAAGCTTAAAGAACACTGCCTAGAAAATAGAATGCAGAAGAATGCTACTACCACAAAGCTCGAAAATTTCCTCCTCCCTTCTACCCAGGATGCTACCCTTTTTATAGCTACTGACAATTTGAGTTTCATGTCAAATCAAACACTCTCAAATTTGAGTTTCATCTTAAATCAAATGCTTTAAAATTTAGATTTTTTAGCTATCCAATTTGAACTCAACTTCTGTTATTGAAATGTGATCCTGATTATCTAAACACCTGAGATAACTAAATTTGAAAATTTGGGATAGATTTCAATCTGTTTCCCTCTTCCTTTTTCTCCTTTTTTTATTACATATTCTGTATATATATATATATATTTGCATTTTTGCATTTTTGTATTTTTTTAATTATTATTTTTAATAATAAAAATGGAGGTGTTGTTTTTTTTCCGGTTATAACGATTGCCCCCTCTTTACAATACTTATGGTGCAAAGTCGAATGAAAAATATGTTTTTCAATGACTTTGTTTAATAAATTTGTAAAGACTCCTCTTTTTTTTTTTTTTAGGTCTTCTTTGGATAATTAAAATCAAAAGCAAAATGGGAATGTGATGGCCAAATTAAAGGACGACCTACCCTTAAAAATTTAAGATGTAATACATGGCCAAATCGAAGGGCGGCTCGCTTCGAAAATTAAATATGCAATGCGTGAACCAATTGAAAAGTGGCCTACCCCGAAACTTAAATATGCAATTGCGTGGCCAAATTGAGGGGTGGCCTACCCCGAAAATTAAATATGCAATACATGGTCAAATTGGAGGGCGACCCGCCCCGAAACTTAAATAGGCAATGAGTGATCAAATTGAAGGGCGACCACCTCGAAAATTAAATATGCAATACATGGCCAAATTGGAATGCGAACTTGCCCCGAAACTTAAATATACGGTACATGGCCAAATTAAAGGGCGGCTTTCCACGAAAATTAAATATGCAATTGCATGGCCAAATTGAAAGGTGGCCCGTCCCGAAACTTAAATATGCGGTACATGATCAAATTGGAGGGCGGCACTGCCCGAAACTTAAATATGCAATGTGAGGCCAAATTGAAGAGTGGCTTGCACTAAAAATCAAATATGCTATCATCGCTAGGCAACTCTATCTAAAATGATGAAGATCATTAGGCAACCCCAGCTTAAATGATAAACCAAATAGGCAACGTTGCTCGTAAATGAGATGATCATTATGCAACCTCGCTCGAATGATGAATTAGGCAACTCTACTCGGAAAATGATTGTTAGATAACTCTACCTAAATGATTGACTAAATAAGCAACCCCGGTTGAAAAATGAAATGATCATTAGGCAACCTTGCTCGAATGATGAATTAGGCAACTCTGCTCGAAAAATAATCGTTAGGTAACTCTATCTAAACGATTCACTAAATAGGCAACCTAGCCTAAAAATGCACATTGGGTAACTCTACCTAAGTGATTGACTAAATTAGGCAACCTTGCCCGAAAATGAAAATGATTGATAGGCAACCTTGCCTAAGATGAGAAACTAAGATAGGTGAACCCGCTCGAATACGAGAATGGTCTATTGTTAAGTGACCTTACCCGAAGGATGATCTATTGTAAGACGATCCCGCTCGGAACAATGGTCCGTTGTGAGCCGACTTACCCGAAAGTGTGGTTTATTGTGAGGCAACCCTACCTAAAAGAATGTGTGTGTGGAAACGTGAACTTCTTTTTTTTTCTTTTCTTTTTTTTTTTAAATAAAACTTGAATGATCGTTCCATCCTTTCACTTGAGTCGACATTCCCGAAATATATCAATAAAATAGATAGCAATGGTTAGTTCCTTACTTGAGAGAAACATAAGTCGCCCCACTTTGTCGACACTCAACTCCCCTATTGTTGCCTCATTCCGGAAGTCTCGTATAGGATTGTATCTCACGATCTTGTCGAAATTTCTTTGCCCCCAGGCTTGGATCACTATTCTCTCTCTCTTTTTTTTTTTTTTTTTTTACTTTCTCCAACCAATTGAGGTAATAAACCACCACATGTTGTGATCCTCCCTTGTGAAACCATAAACTAGAAAGGAGTGCTTCCTATGTGAGCGTAAACCATATAACTTCACAATATTTCGATGTTGTATCTCAATTAACACACGAACCTCACTTCTAAAAGCTTTCAAATTGGTGAACTCGCCCTCTTGTGATTGGCGAAGATTCTTCACGGCGACCACTCGATCCGCCGACAACACTACTTTGTAAACAATTCCATAGCCTCCTTCCCCTATACAATAGTTGGAATTGAAATCTTCGATGGCTTGAATGATGTTCTCGTAGACCATCTTCCCATCATAACTCCATATTGCAAATATGTCTTGACATTGTTCCTTCACTAATTGGGCTTTTCTATTTCTACCTCTTTGGTGAAGAAAGTAAAAACCTCTAACAATGATAAACAATAGAAACAAACTGCCTAATAAGAGTGGTACTATCAAAATGACAATTCTATTTCTCTTTCGTGCACCATTTTTGAGAAGAGAATTGCAAGGCTTCGGACTAGTAGCATTGCTACATGGGCTTGTATTATTCATATATGCCTCAAATGGAGCCTTTTGAAAGGCTTTGATGTTTGGAAGAGGGCTCGTTAGCTCATTGTAGGATATGTCCACAATTGTCAAGCTTTCCAAATCTTTCAAAGTTGTTGGAATGAGACCATTAAGCATGTTGTGAGAGAGGTTCAACATTTCTAGCCTTTTTAGTTGACCAAGTTGCCGTGGTATCTCCCTTGCCAGCAGATTCCAACCGAGATCAAGTTGTTGAAGAGAATGCGGGACGCCTATCTCAAATGGAATGCTTTTTTATGAATCCGTTATGACCTAGGTTCAACCGCAACAAATTTGAGCACCTTCCAAGTTGTTGTGGAATTGATCCACTTAGATTATTTGCTACTAAATTAAGGAGTTGAAGTGCGGATAAATGCTCAATTTCGGAGGGAATGACACTTGAAAGACGATTGTTGTTAAGAGTAAGGTTGTACAACAACTTCAAATTCCCAGTTCTTTAGGAATCGTACCCTCAAGTTGATTCGATGATAGGTCAACCAATTGTAGTTTGGTAGCAAATCCAAGTTCTAATGGTATCTCACCAAATATATTATTATTAGAGATTTTTAGGCTTGTCATGTTTTGGCACTGGCCCCATTTTGGTGAAACCTCACCATACAAATTATTGTAGCTCAAATCTATGAAGTTCAAGTGATGATAGATACCAAAATCTTCGAGTTATATTCCCCGTCGGTTGGTTCCCGTCAAGCCTAACTCTAAATAGAGTAGTACAATTATGCAAGCTTTTGGGTATTGGACCGGAGAAATCGTTGTTGGATGCTCGTGAAGTTTTCAAGCAAACCTCCTAGGCATAAATCTTGTGGCAAATTGCCAATGAATTTGTTTTCATCCAAGATCAACACCTTACAGTGTGTGCGTTTGTTCATATTTTGAGGTAAAGAATTAGATAGTTGGTTAGATTTAAAATATAGTTTTGACAAGTTTTTTAAGTTTCCTATCGAAGCGGGGACGAGTATCAGTTAAATTATTGTTTGACAAGTTAAGCTCATTAAGAGACTATAATGATCCAATGGAATTGGGAATTCTACCGGTTAAAAGATTTTTTGACAAGTAAAGTTCAATGAGAGATTGTAATAACCCAATTTCTTGAGGAATGGAACCGAGAGAGTTTGTTGTCCGAAAGATAGAGAATGGATAAGTTTCTCAAGTTTCCAATGGAATTGGGAATTCTACCGGTTAAAACATTATTTGACAACCGAAGGTCTTTAAGAGACTCGTAATGACTCAATTTCTTGAGGAATGAAACCAAAGAGTTTGTTACCCCAAAGATAGAGAATGGATAGGTTTCTCAAGTTTCCAATAGGAAGAGGGATCAGACCGTTGAGGTTATTTGCACATAGGTATAAAAAGTTGAGATTGGTCAACAAACCTATTTAAAATGGAATACTTCCTGTGAGATCATTGTTACCGAAGTCCAAGTATCTAATTTTGGATATGTTACTAATGTGTGATGGAATGGTTCCATAAAGTGAATTGTCCCAAAGATTAAGAGTAAAAAGATTGGAGAAGGATGAGAAGTTCAAACCATGAAGCGTACCTCTCAAACCAAAATGTGGAAGGCTTAACTTGGTGACACTTCCAGAATCGTCGCAAGTGATCCCAATCCAATTGATGCAAGGATTGCTGTCGACCCAAGAAGACAGGAGAGATTGGCTTTGGTTGTCAAGACTTGCTTTCCACTTGAGAAGTGCCCCAGCTTCTTGATTATTGCTATCTTGAGCAACTTTGTACTTGGCAGCAGCAGTACCAAATACCGAATTGCAGAGGAAGTATAAGCAAAATCAAAGAAAGAAGAAAAGGAGAAAAGGAGAAGGAGAAACACTGAGAATGGTTTGTGTGGTAAGGACGTGATATCCATTTGAAAGGGATGTGTATGGTTTGGTAAATGTGGAGGATGAAGATCCTAGCTAGGCAACAAGTAGAGGTATTTATAGGATAGGATGGAAAACATTATAATCTTTTCCTTTGTTCAATTACAAATGGTATGAGACTCTGCAAGGCAAAATGGTTAGGATGGGACAATATAGAGGTCTCTCAACTTCGGATTCTACTTTTGGACAAAACAATTCCTAAACACTCTATTTTTACACTAAAATTAAATATGCTTTTAATATAAATTAATTTGATTTTTTAAAAATAAATAATTAAACACTGTTTTTGCTTTTGGTTTCCGATTAAATAATAGTAATTATTAGAAAGGCTTTCCTCTTTAATTATGACACTCTGGTTTCAATATATAGTTTCTTTTGTAGTCGTTTTGGTTTCCGATTTATATTAATTTACTTCAAGAAGTTGTTCTACTGATTAAAA